CAATGACATGAGACAAAGTATATGTGAACTGGTGTATGAAAAGTGAATTTACTCTGTAAATCTTCACCCAAATCCTAATTAAAAAAAAAAAAGAAATGATAAGATAAAAGAGCTGAATAGAAGATTTCATAGAGCAGCTCGAGAAGACAAAGTCAATTATTATAATGAAATGTGCAAAGATCTGGAATTAGAAAACCAAAAACGAAGAACACACTCAGCATTTCTCAAGGTGAAAGAACTGAAGAAAAAACTTGAGCCTTTAGTTGCAATACAGAAAGATTCTATGAGCAATATATTGAATGATGCAGGAAACATCAAAAGAAGATGGAAGGACTACAGAGTCACTGTACCAAAAAGAATTGGTTGATGTTCATCCATTTCAGAAGGCAGCACATGATCAAGAATCAATGATATTGAAGGAAGAAGTTGAACCTACACTGAAGGAACTGGCAAAAAAACAAGGCTCCAGGTATCAGTTGAACACACATTTGTTGAGATATTTCAACAAATGAATGCCCCTCTGGAGGCACTCACTTGGCTATGCCAAGAGATTTGGAAGACAGTTACCTGGCCAACTGACTAGAAGAGATCCATATTTGTACTCATTCCAAAGAAAAGTGATCCCACGGAATGTTGAAATTATCAAACAAGGCCATTAATATCATGTGCAAGTAAAATCTTACTGAAGGTAATTTAAAAATGGTTGTAGCAGTACATTGACAGAGAACTTCCAGAAATGGAAGCTGGACTCAGGAGGGGATGTAGAATGAAGGATGATGTCAGATGGATCTTGGCTCAAAGCAAGAATACTAGAATGATGTTTACTTGTGTTTTATTGACTATGCAAATGCATTCAATTGTGTGGTTCATGACTAATTATGGATAACATCAAGAAGAATGGGAATTCTAGAACACTTAATTGTACTCATGAGGAACCTGTACATAGACCAGGAGGCTGTTGTTCAAACAGAACAAGGGGATTCTTCATGGTTTAAAATCAGGAAGGAAGTGTGTCAGGGTTGTATCCTTTTACCATACTTATTCAACATTTATGGTGAGCAAATAATCCGAGAAACTGGAGTATATGAAGAAGAACATGGCATCAGGATTGGAGGAAGACTCATTAACAACCTGCAATATGCAGACAATACAACTTGCTTGCTGATTGTGAGAATGAGTTGAAGCATTTACTGATGAAGACTGAAGACTACAGTCTGCAGACTGGATTAAATCTCCATATAAAGAAAACAAAAATCCTCACAACTGGGCCAGTAAGAAGCATCATGATAAATGGAGAAAAGATTGAAATTTTCAAAGACTTAATATCACTTAGTTCTACAATCAACATCAATGGAAGCAGCAGTCAAGACATCAGACGATGTGTTGCACTGGGCAAATCTGCTGCAAAAGACCTCTTTCAAGTGCTGAAGAGCAAAGATTTCTCCTTGAAGACTAAGGTGCGCCTACCCTAAGCCATGGTATTTTCAATCACCTCATCTGGATGTGAAAGCTGGACAATAAACAAGAAAGACTGAAGAAGAGTTGATGCTTTTGAGTTGTGGTGTTGGCGAAGAATGCTGAGAATACTGTGGACTGCTAAAAGAACTAACAAATCTGTCTCGGAAGAAGTGCAGCCCGAATGCTCCTTGGAAGCGAGAGTGGCCAGACTTTGTCTCACCTACTTTGATCATGTTGTCAGAAGGAACCATTCCCTGGAGAAGGATATCATGCTTGGTAAAGTGGAGGGTGAAGGAAAAAGGGGAAGGCCCTTAACAGAATAGATTGACACAGTGGCTGCAACGATGGGCTCAGGTATAGCAAGGATCATGAGGCTGCCACAGGACTGGGTAGTGTTGCATTCTGTTGTACACAGGGTTGCTACAAGTTGGGGATAACTCAACAGCATCTAACAATAACAGCAACAACAGTATTAATCAATCCATACATCTCACTCAAATTTCGTTATTTGTCTCAGCAACATTTGCACTAGGATCCAATCTAGGATTACATGTGTTTAGTTGTTTTGTCTCCATAGTCTTCTATAAAAAGGAGCCCTGATGATACAGTGGTTTAAGTATTTAGTTGATAACCAAAAGATCAGTGGTTTAAACTCACCAGCTGGTCTGTGGGAGAAAGATGAAGCAGTCAGCTTCTGTAAAGGTTTACAGCCTTAGAAACTCTATGGGTAATTCTACTCTACCCTACAGGGTTGCTATGTGTTGGAACTGACTCAATGGCAGTGCATGAGTCTTCTAAAATCTAGGACAGTGCCTTAGTCTTTATTGCTTTTCTCAGCCTTGACACTTTTGAACAGTACTGGTCAAGAATTGTGTAGAACATCCTTCCTATTGGGTATTCCCAATGTTTCCTCACGATTAGATCAAAGTTATGCATGTTGGCAAACCCAACAAATCAAACCCACTGCCGTAGAGTCGTATACAACTCATAGCGACCCCTCCTTGGGTTTCTGAGGCGGTATCACTACAGAAGTAGATTGCCCGACCTTCCTTCCAAGGAGTGACTGGTGGGTTTGAACTGCCAGCCTTCTGGTTAGCAGTCAAATGCCTTAGGCAAGGACAACATAAATGATGTTGCACCTTTCTCAGTGCATCATTTCAGGAGGCAAGTGATGTCAGTGGTGTTTCATTCTGGTGATATTAATTTTGATCACTTGGTTAAGGTGGTCTTTGCCAGGTGCTACCACTGTAAAGTTAATATTTTCCCCTTTGTAATGAATAAATATCTGTGGGGAAATACTGTGATAATATATAAATGCCCTGTGTCTCATATTAGTTTTTCCCAGGAGTTTCAGCACCCACTGATGACTGTTATTAGTACAGTGTTTGTCAAATGGCCATTTTTTTATTTCTATCTGTCCTCTACTATATTTATTAATCTAATTTATTATTGCTGTTATTGTTAGCTGCCATGGTGTCTATCCCAACTTGTGGTGATGCCATGTGTGTCAGAGTAGTGTTTTTAATGGCTGCCTTTTTAGAAGTAGATCACTAGGCCTTTCTTTTGGGGAGTCTCTGGGTAGACTAAAACCTCCAATCTTTCATTTAGCAGTGAGCTGGTTAACTGTTTGTACTACCCAGGAACTCCAATATATTATTGTTACTGTTGTTTTTGGTTTCCATTGATTAGAATATATTTTTCCTAGTATAAGAAAGAGCTTTTTCTTTTTCATTATTTATATATTTATTTATTTATGGATTCTTATTTTAGTCTATCTTTATTCTTATTTTATTTTTAATGACTATATTTATTTTCTTGCTCAAGTTTTCCCTAATCATCATTTTTCAACTTCTGTACACACATACCTTTCTGATTATAAATAAATCAAAACATAGTATTTTTGTACCATAAAAATTATATTATTAATCTCAAATAGATTCATTAGATCTAATAAACCAATTATGAATGACCAAATAAGCTTACCTAAAGTTAATGGTGGAGGTTTTGGATCAAGAACATATTCTTTTTCTGGATCTTCTACCTTGGGGCTTGGTGTGGTTTTCTTAAGTCCAGTATCTGTTATTGCTTTTGCATCTCTTTTTAGAGATTTGGATCTGTTCATTTTCTGTTGTACCTTTGTCTTAGAATGATCTGCTATTGAAAGATTTCGAAGTTGAAGATCATGTAAAATGTGATCTTGTAAAGCAACTGCAGTGACTGCTAAATTATCTTTTTTGGATGAATGACCCTAAAAAGTAGTTAAGAAAAAAAAAAAAAAAAAAGCCTTACAGAGAAGAACATTGTAAGAACGCTATTCAAAGGAAAACCAAAGGTTTAATACTCAATCTTGACAGCATACTATACTAAATATAATAATAAAGAATTCTTTGACCAATTGTTACCTAAAGTCAGAATAAACCCCAGCCTCATCATTTATGTTAACAACATCATAATATTTTTTTCATTTATTTAGTGGTCTTAATTGTAATATGAATAATTCATTATGACCTATAAAACCTATGCATACCTAAACACACACTGTTTCATTATAATTACATGAGACTCTAGGCAAATCTTGTTTCTGTTTACTAAAGAGATCCCTGCATTTAAGTATATGCTATTTTTTTTGGAAAAATGTAATACATTCCCTATTACCATGCAGCTAGGAGATGCCTGCAGTAAGTACTACAGTAGACTGTTTTTCTCATCAAGCTGCCCATTGCTCCGATGCCATTCTTGGCATCTCCCATTCCTGCTGACAATTCTTAGTTAAAGCAAGTTTGCAAAACATTTGTTATATTTTCAAATGGCTTAATTAAAATATATTTCATGATTAAAACTAAGGGTATGATTTTAAAAAGAATGTATACCTTTTTTGTTAACATGGTGAATCAGGAAATGTTATTGTTTGGATATAAAATCGTCACATCACATCCCTTTACCTACTATAAAAACATAATCAACACAAAGTTAGAGTTAGGATGTATATAAATATGTTTTATGATAATAACTGAAGAAGAATCATTAAGAATCTATTTGGTAATCAAGTAATGGAAATGTCTACTACAGTTTAGCATTAAGCTATGCATTCTGATTCTGAAGGAGTTCAACACAGACATGACCTGCTTCATCCTTGTCCTCCAAGCAGCTCACCATGTAGCTGGAAAGAACACATTAATTAATACAAATGAGAATAATTCATAGCTAAATGATGTTGTTGCTGTGTGCCATTGAGTTGATTCTGACTCACAAAGAACCTATAAGACATAGGAAAACTGTCACATAGAGTTCCCTAAGTTGCAATCTTTAAAGGGAGCAGATCATCAGGTCTTCTTTCCCACCAAGCCATTGGGTTTGACTGCTGACCTCTCAGTGTGCAGCCAAGTGCTTAACTATTGCATTACCAGGGCTCCTTGCTAATGGACAGTATATATAAATACAGCAAAATTTCAGACTAAAAATATTGCAGAATAGCAAGTGAAAATCTCTTACAGATAAGACATTTAAGCTGGAATTTGACAGACAGAGACAGGGAAATAGACACATTACACAATAGGCAAAGAAAAAGCAAAGGCATTATGCTAAAAAAATCAGCATGGTACGCTTATTACTTAGATGAGAAAGGGAATGAAGAAAGTAGAATGGAAGAGGAACACTGGCTAACTTCAATCTGTCCCAAACAAAGAAACATACAGTACAGGGAACAGGGAAACTTGGGCTCCAATCTTGCTCTACCAGCTTTCTGGGCAAGATACTTAACATACTTGAGTCTCAGTTTCCTCAGTTATAAAATGAGTATAATAATATTCATCTTGTAGGGTCATGAGGCTAAATGAGGAAATCTTTGTAAAGTATCTAAAATGGTCCTTTTCACACAGCAGATACTCTATAAGTGGTCATTCTTACTCCAGTTCCCCTGAAAGCTGGTGGCAGAATTTGGAATTGGCCCTTTTAGTTAAGATAAGGGTGCATTTTATGAAAAGGAAAAGCTCTAATGTACTACAGTGGGGAGAAATTGTTATTGAAGTAATTTAGGAATTAGTATTGAGAGTGTAATTTTAACTATAGAAAGGAATAAATCTAAAATATATTTCTAAGGACTAACACTTTCATTAAATTAGCACAATAGAGAGAATAAACTTAGTAAAAAGAAAGTGTAATGAGAGAAAAGAAAGGTCGGTGCAAGCAAATTTATGAGATATCCATGGCTTCACAGCCGTCGAGTCAGATCTGACTCATAGCGACCTCTCCTTGGGTTTCCGAGGCAGTATCACTACGGAAGTAGATTGCCCACCTTCCTTCTGAGGAGTAGCTGGTGGATTTGAACTGCCAGCCTTCTGGTTAGCAGTCAAATGCCTCGGCCCTACGCCACAGTGCTTAAATGCTTAGCTGCTAACCACAGGTCAACAGTTCGAACCCACCATCAGCTCTACTCAGGAAAGATGTGGCAATCTGCTTCTGTAAAGATTTACTAAAGCCTTGGAAACCCTACGAGACAGTTCTATAGGGTGGTATAGGGTCACTTGAGGCTGAATGGACTCAATGGCGCACAACAATAACAAAAGGAGGAAAAAGATTAGTAGCTGCTAAAATTCTTTAGAAAGGTAGACAGCAGTTTTCCTTGTTCCCTTGCAATTCTGGCATCAAGAAATGGATGAAAAAATGTTTCTAACCAATATTTCATTAAGACAGTCTAGACTGGAGAAATGTTAGAAAACATTTCAAATGCTGCGAAATCAGTATCAAAATCCTCCACTTGCAAAGATGCCTACAAACTGGTAGTAGATACAGTTCATATCATACTAAAAATTGTTTAAAAGCTGTATGCAGCTACAAACAGTCCAGAATTTTATCTCAGATTTCTACACTATAAGCCACTCAATGATTGATATGAATAGCTTTTAAAACTGTGCCACTTTTAACCTTATAGTATAGAGTTGGAAAACTCTTTGAACATGTAATCCAACTCCATTTTATTACTGAGAAAACATGTTCAGTGATTAGGCGACTCCTTCAACATTAGATAACTAATTGGTGGCACTGGCAGGCTTAGAAACAGTCTTTGTCCAGTATGAAGAGTTTTGTCCAGTATGAAGAGGTAAACTTAATAAGAATATATTCTTAAATTCTAGTATGAAGACTACTAAAAGAGGTAGGACTCCTAGCAAAAAATATTATTGTGGTGATAGGAAATTAATTACCAAGTTGTCTAAGAGATCATAAGTTAATAAATAAATGTACTAATTAAAAACAAAGCACACAAGAAATACATACAGAAACACTTTAAAAAATATAATTCTGCACACTGTCTTGTTACATCTTTCACAACTTTTGAATTTGTTTTTTTTATACGTTTAAGTGAGATTGTATTTTTGATGACCAGAGCATACAAAAATTCCTAACATTACATTGTTAAAATTCTTTTAAAAAACTTAACCATACTTTGGGAGCTCTGGTGGCATAGTGCCTAAGGCATGTGACTGCTAATTAGAAGGCTGGCAGTTCAAACCCACCTTCCTCAGAAGGAAGATTCGGAAATCTACTTCCGTTAGAGATACTGCTTGGAAAATGCAAGGAGGGGTCGCTAGGAGTGGAATGGACTCCAGGGCAGTGAGTTTAACCATACTCTTGAACTTGGATCTACTTTTTATAATGGGTAGAATTTATAGGTTTCAGATAAGTACTTTTAAAGTTTTTAGGCCATTATAAATTTGTACCATTTATATTTACACAAGAAACTCACAAATTAAGTAGGAATAACTTTGAAGTATTACTTCACTAAGGATTTCATTAAACAACTTCGTGTTTTGCCATAAATTGAGACATATGAGCCATGCCAATCTCATCAAGACTTTAAAATATCAGTAACGAAGCACCACAAAATAATATTCTAAGTTATTAACACTTCAAATTGATTTTTTAAACACCAGGTTCTGAACTTGCAGGAAAACCTAATGATTCCATGATAGATTACATGAACTTGCAAACTTAGAAATACCTCCTCCACATTAATAAGACCTTTTATGAACTGGCTCTCATTTTCTCAAGGGAAATACTAAAAAAACGTCATAACGTCAACTTTCGTCAACCGTTACATATACCACGGTCCTTTCCCAACCCACAGACCCACTTTTGGCTAGGACAACTCCTTTCCTCTAGCTCATTTCTTTTCATTTTCCTTCGTTCCTTAACTCTACTTTGGTTACACAGCCACTGCGACCCTCGTCTTCGGCGCAGAAACGGAACTCAGGGTTCCTCAGCGCCACCCCGCCACCACTTGCCTGCTCCACAACAACGGTGCTCAGAAGCGCCAACCGTTGCCTAGCAACTCGCCATCGCTGCGTTCGCTTCCCTACTACGCATGCTCCTCCGGCAGTCCCGCCCTGTCACGGCGCGCGGGGCGTCTAAGTTCCAGACTCCAGCTATGGCGCAGGGGGACGCTTGCGCTGCTGGCTTGTGTTGAGAGGTTCTTGCGGAGCAGATGGTTTGCTCTGCTAGCTGCCCGAAACAGATGTGAAGGACTGAGGAACGCAAGCAAATGTGCTCGAATCATCATATTTCAACGTCAAACCAATAAGAATGCGTCATCTGAAAGGACTGGACCAAATACAGCCAGGTCCTCGCCTGTCAATCTACCGTCTTCTAGAAGGCTCCTAAGCTTGGTTGTTTGAGCTTCCACCTCTTCGCATTTTCTTTCAAGGTGCAGATATTTCTGGGTTATATAATGAATGCTTGCATACGGCCAAGTAGATGGACAAAAGGGAGAGGGCCCCGCTATGAAACCTGTTGTTCCAAAGTGAAAACAATCGGTGTAATATAAATTTGTCTTCCTGGGGCCTCAGGCCTTCCCAAGCCATCGACGGCTCTGCTGGGGGAAAGAAGGAGGAGAACCGTAACAGGACTTAGAGAAAGAGAACGCTGTCTAGCAATCTTTTTGCATGTACAGACTGAGAGAGGGGGGCTTATAATCTTGTAAACCCACCATGAGTCGAAAACGACTCCGTGAAACTGGTTTACTAGTTTCAAATTCCATGCTTTTAAGGTAAGTAGGTAAGATACTTGAATTTCTTTTTACCAAAAAACAAAGTGATTTTTTTTAAAGCAGATGAGAGAAATGGAATTGATAAATAATCTGTTCTGCACCTAGAGTTTCAGGGGGGAAAAAAAGGAATGAATATATTTATTTTTGAATCCCAGTCTACTCAAACCTGAATTTTGCAAGAAGCAATTCAATTGTTCTTTAAGAATCCAGTGAAAGTATCAAACCAAATAAAGCTTTTTAAGATAGGTAAACAAAAGCCTAAAATTAAGATTTCTATGTTGATACATACGTTTGTAATTATCAGACTATCATTATTACTTTTTTTGAATTGGTCCTTATTGCTTGTTATTCAGTAAATATTGCCAAAATAGGTTTCTTTTTGTTTTGTTTTGTGTGCATTTGACATGTAAATTAAATATTGTTAAATTAAAATTAAAATATTAATATTAGAATATAAACATTTACATGCCAAGAATTATTATGAATGTTTTCTGGAGAACTTAGAAAATTATATTACATATCAAACATTGAGAAAATCACAAAATGAAACAGTATCTTGTACATTAGTGGAATCATTTATAAAAAGACTACAAAAAAATAAGTAACAGTATCTTTTTGCAGAGAACTTTTCTGTGTGTTACCATCCCATAATGGTTGATGCAGGGAGCCCTGGTGGTGTGCTTGGCTGCTAAATGAAAGTTTGGAGTTAAAACTCATTCAGCTACTTTGTGGGAGAAATGAGCTGGCGATCTGCACCTGTAAGAATTACAGCCAGAAAACCTTATGGGGAAGTTCTAGTCTGTCCCTTGAGGTCTGTATGGGTGAGATGGACTCACAGGCACTTAACTACAATGATTAGAGCACTTGGTTGCTAACGTAAGGCTAGAAGTTTGAGCCCATCCAGAAGCACCTGGGAAGAAAGGCCTGGCCATCTACTTCTGAAAAATCAGCTATTGAAAACCTAATTAGGGCCTACTTCCACTCAAAGGCTACTGACATTTGAACTTACTTAAGTCCAGAGTGGTTAAGTAAATCCCTCAAATTCTCACTCACTTCTAGAGCACTGTAGATCTAGTACCTGACTCTCTGTTCCCAAGTTTGTGGCCCC